TGCTGTAGAGTTGTTTGCCAAAAGTCTTGTTCCCTGACCTGACAATTTTCCCCGACGTTCAGACGTCATTAAATTGTAGGTCAGTCAGCCTCCATGGCTAAAAATAAACATGGCGACATTGACGGCCTCTTTTTCAAAGCTCGGCTTCGTTTCCGAATTCGCTTTATCACTGATAGCTTTTAATGTTCCTATCAAATTTTTATATAAATAACTTGCTTCATATGTATATCATAACTTACAGTTATGATATAGTTTTATATTTCTGTAAGAAAACATTGACTAATGTTGACCTGGAATCTTCAAAGTTAGGCACCCAAATAGCACTGTTAGCAGGTGGAGCCGAATGTAGACCACGCCGTCGCCGAGTTTTGGAAAATCCCGATAACGGCCGTCAAATTCAAAATAGTACATGACGCAGCAAAAAGTTCGCCCCTCGTATACGATCCGAGTACACTTGATGCAGCAAATCGTCGTTGAATTTCACATTTTCAAGATGAATTAAAGCAATAATTATTAATTATCAACTCATTTTTAAAGTTTAAAAAGCAATTAGCGGTTAATAAAACATATAGTATACTCGGAAATACTTGGGCACTCTCCGATTGTCAACGCAATGAATTCGGCAAACTTCGGACATTTTCGGAAAAAGGAGGAATTCCTCCCATTTTAGTCACGTGACGTATATTTGTAATACAATGTATTACTGACGGCTACCTGACCTAAGATTCATCAGGAATAGTCAGAATCTTTTGGTCTGGGAACCAGACTAGTTTGTCAATTGACCAGTTACAACCAATGGAGAGATGTCATCATGTGTATTGTGTTTCTCAAAGAGAGGGGTGACATGTTTCGCACGCAGGGTAATTAATACCTACGCGGATCCATTTCTAAAGGGGGTTGCTTCCAGGAGGCTACGCGAGTTGTAGCCTTTACGCATATTACAGGAGGCTACGTAAGTTGTAGCCTTCACGCATATCGTCACCGTTTTCACGAAGAGGTGAATTTAGTATTTCACTGTCTGAACAAACATTCGAGATAATCGCGTTTAAAGTTGGTCCTTTTTTCATTTGACAATTTGAAACTTAAAGATGCATAAAATATGCAAGATTTAGGTATCAGAGGAAAGAAGAGCTTCTAACCTTCCTAAATATAGCAAACTTTAAGAAAAATAGGTGATTAGTTTTGCAGAATTAATCAACTAAGACCAATTAGCAAATTCGCCCCTTCGTGAAAACGCTATCAATGACTACGCGCAGATTTCGCCCTTCTGCGGTCTGAGTCAATGCATTTTTTGTACAGTACGCGCAGATTCTGCCCCACTGCGCATGCGCCTTTCCCCGCACTTCGTGAAAACGTTTTATTGCACGCGCATGGAATTCGCCCCTTCGTGATCATTGATCTCCATATACACAGTTCGTGATATACGCGCCATTGTAGGCCTATTACAATGTATTTATTTACTGAAAATTTATTAAAACCATAGAGTGCGGAAATTCGCACCTTCGTAAAAACGCAAAACGGCCCTTTTGGCAAATTTGCCCATTCGTTAATTAGGTTAGTTAAGATTTTGATTAATTTTTTGAAAGTATAGCCTCACCAGGTTGTAGATATTGATATATTTATTCAGTTTCACCAAAAAAAAACAAATTTCGAAAAACACACGATTTTCATGAAATTCGCCCCTTCGTGAAAACGGTGACGATATTACAGGCGGCCTCGTGAGCTGTAGCCTTCACGCATATTACAGGCGGCCTCGTAAGTTGTAGCCTTCACACAAATTACAGGAGGCCTCGTGAGTTGCGACCTTCACGCATATTACAGGAGGATTTGTGAGTTGTAACCTTCACGCATATTACAGGAGGCTACGTGAGTTGTAACCTTCACGCATATTACAGGACGCCTCGTGAGTTGTAGCCTTCACGCATATTACAGGAGGCTTTGTGAGTTGTAACCTTCACGCATATTGCAGGAGGCCTCGTGAGTTGTAACCTTCACGCATATTACAGGAGGCTACGTGAGTGGTAGCCTTCACGCATATTACAGGACGCCTCGTGAGTTGTAGCCTTCACGCATATTACAGGAGGCTTTGTGAGTTGTAAACTTCACGCATATTAGAGGAGCGGCCTCGTGAGTTGAAGCCTTCACGCATATTACAGGAGGCTTCGAGAGTTGCGACCTTCACGCATATTACAGGAGGCTTCGTGAGTTGTAGCCTTCACGCATATTACAGGAGGCTTTGTGAGTTGTAAACTTCACGCATATTAGAGGAGCGGCCTCGTGAGTTGAAGCCTTCACGCATATTACAGGAGGCTTCGTGAGTTGCGACCTTCACGCATATTACAGGAGGCTTCGTGAGTTGTAACCTTCACGCATATTACAGGAGGCTACGTGCGTTGTAGCCTTCACGCATATTACAGGAGGCTTTGTGAGTTGCGACTTTCACGCATATTACAGGAGGCTTCGTGAGTTGTAACCTTCACGCATATTAGAGGAGCGGCCTCGTGAGTTGAAGCCATCATGCATATTACAGGAGGCATTGTGAGTTGCGACTTTCACGCATATTACAGGAGGCTTCGTGAGTTGTAACCTTCACGCATATTACAGGAGGCTTCGTGAGGTGTAGCCTTCACGCATATCACAGAACAGCCGCGTGAGTTGAAACCTTCATACATATTACAGGAGGCCTCGTGAGTTGTAACCTTCACGCATATTACAGGAGGCTTCGTGAGTTGTAACCTTCACGCATATTACAGGAGGCTTTGTGAGTTGTAACCTTCACGCATATTACAGAAGGCCTCGTGAGTTGTAACCTTCATACATATTACAGGACGCCTCGTGAGTTGTAGCCTTCACGCATATTACAGGAGGCTTCGTGAGTTGTTGCATTCACGCATATTGCAGGAGGCCTCGTGAGCTGTAACCTTCACGCATATTACAGGAGGCTTCGTGAGTTGTAACCTTCACGCATATTAGAGGAGCGGCCTCGTGAGTTGAAGCCTTCAAGCATATTACAGGAGGCTTCGTGAGTTGCGACTTCCACGCATATTACAGGAGGCTTCGTGAGTTGTAACCTTCACGCATATTACAGGAGGCTTCTCGAGGTGTAGCCTTCACGCATGTTACAGAACAGCCGCGTGACTTGTAACCTTCATACATATTACAGAAGGCCTCGTGAGTTGTAACCTTCACGCATATTACAGGAGGCTTCGTGAGTTGTAACATTCACGCATATTTAGAATGATCCAAAGACAACCGACATTGTAGGCACCAGTCTAACCGAACCCTGTCAGGGATTAGCTCTTAACGTGTTTTTGCAGTTTTTTTTCTTACCATACCCTCTTCTTAGTCTTCATTTCCATTCAACAAGAACTGAAGAGTTGTATTTATTACGGCAAACATAACAATTACCAATCACCAATGATGGATGTAACATGAAATATGTGCTATATATGTTTAAACCACATAATTATAATTGGAACAACAATTTGAGAACATGATCATACATGATGAATTATACAATTGTAATAACAATACAGTGGAATATACATTGTCATGAACGGTTCTATAGAACTCTTTGGTTTTTCTAATGCACTGCATTAGAAAAACGGTTTGCTCTGAATAACGATCCTTAAAAGAAAATATTAAAAGTTTGAAACCTTCTATTTTCAATAGTATATAACTAAAACATTGCAACTTTTCAAACTGCATCATTAAATCGTTGTCAGTGTTGGACAATTTACAGTCTTTGGTAGCAAACGGGGTATCAAAATGTAGCTAACAACATTCACCAACTGTCTACATAAATGACGTTATCATAAGACGATCAGATCAAAATTATGACCCCTCCAATGAGTGAGGACTTTCTTCTTTTAGCGGTGTTTAGTTACTCTACCGGGAAGGTTAAAGTTCACATTTAATTCGCAGCACTCAGTCTTGATATTAAAAATAAAAATACAAACATTCACCGTTAAACCTCTGTATCTGGACTCTAATGGTCTTTAAGTGGCTTAAAGCTCCTTTATACTCTGCCTCTGATTTCTTCACATTGCTCTTTTTGCTCCCCACTATAATCCCAATGGGAAAGCAATGGAAAACAATATTACCGCTCAGTGAAAAGAATTCAGATCTTCAATCACACCAACAAATTATGTAAACCTTATTAACAAATTAGGTGTTATAGGTGATATTTGGATGCTGGCTCCGAAAAGGGTTGTTACTACTGCGTCTTCAAAGAGAGTACGACATGAAGTAGAGGCCTATCTATATCCGCTCAGAATGTTATTACATGCAGGCCCTAGATGTGCATGGTTTAACACTCATTTCATTTTTTACATAAAACATATATCAACTCTTGTTAATTGCCTACCCATGACACCTTATTGAAAAATAGTATACACTCACCTTGAGATACATCGGTGCTAAGATAGTAAAAGTGCTATGTATACGCATATCGATTTTTCTTCTGGTCAAAGAGAAATCGAAACGAGCTTGTTATGGTAGAAGACCGGCAAGATACATGCTTCACATAGTAGACAACATGGAGGCTCTTATATATGATCTACATTTGTACTTATTTGTTAATCTGTAAATGACGCTTTCTCGATTATAATGTATACAAAGCTATTCGCTGAACCCCTCTCAGACCCTTCCAAGACCCTTTTGGGAAGTCATTGTCCCGCCGCAGTCATATTTTAAATCCAATCTGACATAAAAACAATCCAACTAATTTGTACGTTATAAGGCAAGCATGGAAAGGTTTTCCTCATTTGTTCCATTGAACATTTTTTTGTGAGTTCTCGGAAAAGGATTCCAATGCAACACTTCTGCATTCTCAGCAAGCATTGGATCTGCATGGTTACACAATTAGGCCGGTAAATTGCAATTAAGCAAAATGAGCACCTGTTGTTTTGAACCGTCTCCGCAAACCAAAGGACAACGAGGCGCTTCATTTAATGTTTATTTGCAATTTGTGAATACAAAATCTGCCAGCTGGTCTTACCGAAGATTTCTTTCTCAAGACACGCCTTACCGTTATTTTTAAAAAATGGCACGACAGTGTAATTCAGTGGCTTTTATCTGGCTCTTCAAACCATATATTCAGAGATGGAAACAAAGAAATCAATTTTTTTGCTTTTTTGTTGTCTAAAAGTCATTTTTACAGATGTTTTGTTTAGCTGTGACTAAGCGGAGGCTGTCATACGAATGTGGCTACGCAGGCGATGTCAATCGGTTTTATTTTGAATTACAGTATTATTTTAACCAAACTGATTACTTAAATATAGTGTTCGTAAACCAGACTAACGATATCTACAAATTTCGCTACAGGCCTTTACAGAGATCAAAATTTATGTTGGTTTTAATAAGTCGACTCGGAATGATGCACATTCAAGAATGCAAGATCATGCATGATCAATGATGTCATTATTAAATAACAGCCATGTTTTGGAATCATGTTGGACACAATCAACTATCAAGGATATAATAATCAAGAAAGCCTGTTATTATTTCACACGATCATTTTTTTTTTTTTGGAAACTTGTTCTTTTTTACTTTAATGTGTGTCTTTTAGAAATCTAAACTTCATGATCAACAGTAAGTCTGCTGTTATCGGCACGCGATCTTCTCGTTTCAGACTCCAACGAACTGTGCACGGTGATGGACGCGTTTTTGTACAGTTGCATCCACTGCTTACGATCGTCGTTCGTTCGGCCCGGGAAACAACTACAAAATGCCGACTTAAAATGCCTCCTGTGGGCCGAGCTTACGACGAATAGAATAATCGGGTTGATGACCGAGTTGATCCGGATCATTGTGTTTGCGATACTATTAAAAACATTCACCGCTGGATAGATCTGCCATTTTTCATCCAGGTAATGGACGCCACCGTCGATCCAAAACAAAACTTCTAGACTGTAGTACAGAGTCCACGTGCTTACGAATACAACCACGATCACGACAATAGCAATAGCAAGACGCAGCCGTTGGCGGCGCTGTCGCGGTGACACCTGCACAGCATTTTGGCTTTCCAGCAGACTGTTGGACTTGAGTAGGTTTTTGGCTGTGCAGCAATAGCTGGTCGATATTATTGTGGTGGGTATCAAGAGTATAATTACAATTGAGGCGTACATGAAATCCCGATATACTTCTGAATGTCTCCGCGGAAGGCACTTGCCCTCGTTTGTGAGTTTGGTCACCATGATGACGGGAATGGAGATGACAAACGCAGCCGACCAAATGAGAACGATACCGAGCAACACGGCACATAGTCGACGCCGTCCACTGCGCAACGAACGACACGCCAGCGGTTTAGAAACGGCCAGGTACCGGTCGATACTTAGCGCCGTCAGTGTGAATATAGATACGACCACGAAGACGTTCATGATGTATCTATAAAAGGTGCAATGAGCCTCGGACTTGAAGAAGTCATATCGGCTCAAATTCAAGTTCAATGCATTTAATATTTCCGTCGGAAGGAACAAGCATATGAACACCAAATCCACAACGGCCAAGTTTGTGATCAGGTAATTCGGCACAGTGCGCATGCTCTTGTATCTAAGCGCAATGAAGATGAGGCATACGTTGCCCGCAAATCCAATGATGAAGAATATGGCATCTCGTATGACCAGAGGCCAGTCTGGTTCGCTATTGAAATCTGAAGTGATATTACTGCCATTGTTATCCATATTTAAGGCACCGAATCGCTTTTGGGTTTTACTTTGCCTTTTAAATGACAACTACTTTATCTTGAAAAAAAAAAACCCTTTGAACTGGTGTATGTCTAGGGCCCTATATAGGTATCTTACAGCGTTGTGACTTGATACTTTCTTCCAACTCAACAATCCAATTTTCAATAATATTCCGGGTTGTCCTCCCTTGTGGTTGAAGTCCTGCATATATGCCTGCCGTGAAAGTAACCGGTGCCGGGCTGAGATTGAGTTGATGCGAGGCTTTTGTGTGATATACTACAATTAGGTGATGCGAGGGCTTCCAGAGATGCAGTCTAGATGTCCATGTGCCAAGGTCCAGTAGTTAATAACTGAAGTACATCTTCATGAGCTGCTAAACTCTGTACACAGAAAGTGGGGGATACAAGGTATCTTTATTTCACCATGATTCTACTACCGGTCAAAGATGAGGTACCAAACCGGTTGTTCTGTGAACCAACACAAAGTCACAGAAGAGATGAATTTCACGTGGTGTTTCCGCAAACTTACCTTGCTGTTATTTCCATTGTCATAATGATTCAACTATTTCTTGAAGAGAACAGGGGCGGATCCAGGCATTTTCGCGGGGGGGGGGGGGGGGGGGGTTTCATCAGCAAAAACATTTGAAAATGTAAACAGGTTTTTTTCTCCGGACACTTGGCCTCCGTAAAATCAAAAATTGGGGGCGCTGTTCAAATTCGACGATTATTAACACTAGATTACAGAATGGTCTACCGTATTTTGAACAGGCGGACATATTATACCAGTATAATTTTTTGGGGGGTGTCAGGGGGGGGGGGGGTTCCGACTTATTTTTTAGGAATTTGTATGATAATTATTTATTTTTTTGACAGAGCTGTTTTTTTTTGACCCCCCCCCCTCTGGATCCGCGCCTGGAGAATTGGTTGCGCCATACACAGATTTTATTTATTGTTTATCATAATATTTTAAAATCGCCCAGTCTCAATAAATTCAGCTATCGCGTGGTGGACTGGTTCCCGCTCCATTTACAATCAATCTATTGGGATCGCTAACGGGTTCATTCTCAGGGTGCACCGACTGTTTGGGCGCAAAAGCAACCGAAAATAAATGCATAGATGGTTTCAGCCGAAGAAAAGAGAAAACAATTATGTTTTTTTTCGTTACAATATAACACCTACATAGGTCCAAATTTATTAGGATGAAAAGGGTTGAAGAGCACGGACAGAAATGGTGGCCAAACAATGCACTTCCACGTGGACTGTAGGCCTCTCCTCACAACAAGCAGTCGACAAACACGGTGAAGTGTCAGGACAGCTCATCTCACTGCTCGCTCAGAATCAGACCAATCTGGGCTGAGGATGACTTGGACCTTCTATTCTGAAATCAATGTTGCTCTGCAAGCATGCTGCCAATGGACAGACAGCGAGTGCTTACCTTTCAAGTCAGATGTGACAATCAGAGGTGTTGCAGTCTATATAGGTTTTCCCGGACATTTAAAAACGTTTTTCATTCAAATTCATAAACTGTTAATTTCAATTTCGTCTCGAGAAGACTGGAACGTGCAAATGCTACAATGAATTTAGTCGTTGGTCATTCCAAATGATCAAAGGTCAATCAATTTCAACATTTGTCCATTCGATGTCGTCAGATTTCAATGGAATTCGTCTCACCTGATGATCATTTACATAATGTTAGGATTGAATTCGTCTTTGTTCAAGCGATTTCGAGAAATTTCGATCAAATTCATCAGACAAATGCGCACGCTGGCACAACCATGCACAGACGAATTTGGCACGGTAAAACTGCAAGACAAGAAATTGAATGTTTAACAACCAATCCGAGGGACAATAAGAAGAACCGAATTGACTTTTTCCGAAAGACGCAATGAATACATTTTGCTTTTCACAACTACAAAATTATAGGCCTACTAAGTTTTTGCATGAAATGGAAAGTACGAATTTCATTTGTCTGTGTATACCTTAGGCCTATTTCTTTCATTTGTTGATGCATAAAATTGTCAAAGAACTAAATGGATACACCAATAAGTATTGAAAACTATTATAACTGTGCATAATAAATATTACATGAGAAATGTTTATTTAAGGTTATAAATCTACGCTGAAAAAGGAAAATACTAAACAGACACCAACAAAATAGAGTAAATATATAAATTAACATTTACCGCTGCTATGATAATGCTGAATGCCTTTTTCTTGTAATCTCAAAAATGTGGTTGTTTCTTAATAGCGTATTTTTTGTTCTTTTTAAGGTATTATTTTCTGAAGCGTGGTGTTACTTAAAGGTTTTTTTCTGATGTAAGCCTTAATTGTTGATTATCTTAAAAGAAAAACCAAAATCCCAGTATTTCGATAAACGTTTCTCACAAAATAGAGAAAAATGCACTGAGAAAATATTATACTCACAAACATGAATAAGAGCCTGCGAGGAAATGTTGATCTCAAGAATAGTAGGTATATCTTCTACGGGGTTACCTCATTTATGACACCACCAGCGACGACACAGCTCGTTGATAACTGTATCTAGGGTCTGTATAAAAGAGAATGAACACCATCATAATTGTTTTTAAATGACATCCAGTAAATACAGTAAACTATTAAACAAACAAAATCTACTTAATTCCGATTTAGGGTGCGTGTAACCCACTGAAAAAAAAGGACTTTCATTTTGCGCACAAATGAAGCCGACCTGAGAAAGTCCAATTATTCTCTGGCAGCTAATAATTAGAATTCTTTGTGAAGAAATGATTCTATAACTTATCGATTGATTTGTGTGTTCGATGTCTCATTCAAAAATGAATAACTGTAAACAGGGTGAGTCAAAAACAAGTGCGACTGGCCAATAAGCTTTGGCCGTCTTGCATGATAGTCTTGCATGAATTCTATCAAAATGATTCCTGCCAGAGCTGAAAAATGCGACGCCCACAATTGCGACGCTGATGTCACATATGGATCACCATACTTTAGATCTATACCCATGTTCTAGCGAATGGTGATAAATACCACGTGACTATAACATTACTGCACATATATACAGGGTGAGAAAAAAAAGAAACCCAAATGTCGGGACTATTGTTTAGCCAGGGGCGGCGGAATCGGGGGGTGGGGGTGGGGCAAGGGCCCAGGGGGCACTTGATGCCTTTTACTGAGCAAGTGCCCCTTTTTAGTGATGACCCCCCCCCACCCCCCCCACCAGTTTGAAAACCGTTCCGCTGCCGCTGGTTTTAGTGAAGTTCTGCATGTACCACTTTCAAAATCTAGGATATGAAAGCCCAATTCATAAGCTTTCTTTTAGCACAAGAATCATTCAAATCACTTATGTACATTTTAAGTTACGGAATTTTATACACAACAACCATTTTAAAGTTCTGTCCACGGATCACAAAAAAGGTGTGCATTCTTTCAGCAGGACGAAATAATTCACACACATCCCTATGTGATTTGTTTTCGTTTTGCTGAAAGAATACTAACCCTTTTGTGATCCGTGGACAGAACTTTACAACGGTGCAATTCCGTAACTTGAAAATTACATGAGTGATTTGAATGATTCTTGTACTAAAAGAGAGCATATTTGGAATTTTGAAAGTGCTATGCAGAACTTCACTAAAACAATGGTCCCGACATTTGGGTTTCGTCTGTTTTAAAATTTTATTTTTTTTACTCACCCCGTATTTTGCCTCCATTTGTTACAAACAATTTTTGTAAGTATTTATTTATTTTGTTTGCCCTTTTTTAATTAGAATTTGGCAGTTATATTTTATAGGAAACTTAGGAGGCTTATTTTGGTCCGTTTTCCGGGGACAGACCTACCGACCACCAAGTGACATGTAGAAGCTCCTGCAAGAGCTTAAAAGGGAAACCCAAAATGGCGCAACCGGCCGAAACAGCCTTTGTTTTCGTTAAGATTGTTTTTTTCTTTTTCAGTCAGTTCCCTTTTAATGATCCAAGAATGTGCTAAAAATCGTGATATGTTCTTTAGTTTTCGTAGAAATTGGAAAAATAGGCCTGGCTACGGGCATATTCGAAAGTTGTAACACTGGCGTTAGCAATGTCTGTCAATCCTTTCGAGCCTTAGAAATAATAATAAGGTTCCTATTCATCATGATGTGCAGTAAAAATTTGCATAAAAGCCTCCTTCTCGAGTTATTAATTGATAAATATCACCCTTTTTGCCGGCTTCCATTGGTCGATACCCAGACCCACGCCGAGTCACGCCGAGTGACGCTAATGAATATGCTGATATGCCCGTCGTCTTGTGTTGCCGATAATGAAATCGGTCAACCGTAGCGCAAACCGCGCTTTGCTGAACAATGCACGTGGCCGGGTGGGCAAAAATCCTTGTCGAAATTTTCCTTAGAGATGGTTCAAAGTGTAATGCAAGCGTTCGCAACAACAGATTAAGCTGAAATTTGGAATATACTTAGATGATATAAGTGTTCAACTACTCGTGAAATAACAACTTGAGTAGATTCTTAGAAATTGGTATAAATACATCGATTTGGGGAAGTTTTCGGACGATTTCTTCCAGATTTTAAGGTCAGCTTTACCAGTAACCAGTACTGACGTTTCGGCATCCATGACGGCGATTTTTTTTCACTGACATGAAATGTATAAATATTTCTTCCGTTATAATTTAACATTTCAATAAGTACGTAATCGGATTAGCTTTGCTTGACAACTGGCACGCTTTCGTCTTCGCAACCATATGGCTGCATAAACCCAAGATAGGCTTTACGTCTTGTGAGAAATATTCCTTCCTCACTTTAGTTATTTAAAAGGTAAAATGATAAGAAGTGAAAAACGCTCACTGGCATTCGACCTCGGATCCCCTGATTAAACGTCAAAACTAACCAGTCCACAAATCGGCTGACAATTGTCGGCGATTTAAACACCATTATTCTGTGTTATATAAAGGCCCTGTCACACTGTCTGCGATCGCATTATGCGCTCTCACTGCGTCCTTGAAAAATGGCTGGGGCGCAACAACAGCTACAAGATCGCAGCGACAACTACATAGGTCGCCTGATGGGCGCCGGAGGGTCTTTATGGTCTCCGATGAGCGCCAAAGATTTTGAACATGCTCAAAACAATCGCAACACCTCTGCGCTCTGGCAGGGCGTCGAAATGACGCAACTCGGGCGCTCTGCAAGCGTAAATCGTGCGCCATTGACGTGGCATTGACGCAGCCTAATCACAAGGCAGTCGATGCAGTCTCCATGAGAAAGTAACTCGGCTGCGATGAAGTTGTCGAATAAATTTGAAACTGGACTGCGGATTAACCGTTTTGTCGTGGTATTTATAAGGGCGCAAGTGACGTCACGTTAGCGTATTTTGGTCGGATGGGGAGCGCAACGCGAGCTACTAGCACGTATCAACAGCGAGCAGAGCGTAGTGTGAGCGCAGTGACAGCGCAGCGGCGGCGACTAGATCGAGTAATTGGGCTTGACAGGGGCGCATAGAGAGCAATTTCAGCCCATCGTGAGCGCGGGATGAGCGCAGTATGAGCGTAGCTTGAGCTACTTTCTGGCCACTTGAGACAGATAATTGTCACTTTCTTGCGTCCTCGCTGCGATTGTTAAATTTATTAAATATTTTTGGCCGCCGTAAGGTCTCCAATGAGAGCGCATAATGTGACAGGCCCTTAACCTATCCCTATGCCCTGGACATCAGAGAGGACTGAAAACGAAAACGAATGGGGCATGATCTAATATGCAAAATTAGAATTAGACACATGCGCATCAGTGTTTGCAAAACCAGTCTTCGAATGCAAAGCTGCAATACTCGAGTTGTGTGTGGGGCATAGGCAGAGGCAAATACATCACACAACCTAATTGTAATAACAATGAGTCGCTGCAGCGCCTGCTGTGGGAATGTCCTTTTGTTGCCCTGCTTTGGGATTGGGCCACGTACGTAATGTAGGTGTGAACGTATAAACACTGCCTTATGGGGTACCGGAACAATGGGTACAATGGGTACCCCACAAGGAATGCCCACCGACCGTTTTGGTACCCCACAAGTTTTCACGAAAAAGATATATGGATTTTACTTAAAAACTAGGAATTTCCAAGGTGGGTTGATCAGTCGCAAATGGAAGAGTTTTAGAAAAGGGATATTCAGTCCGAATTTCAGCCCAAGAAATTAATTCTGGTTAGAATAAGAGCATTTTGAAATTAGCGTGCGACATTGCAAAATTTTAGTACACGAGAACAAAGGAAGTACCCCACTTCTATGCCCGTGTAGCGGGTATGCGTGTTTGAGGGCCTACGTTCGCGATTTCCCCTGTTTCCTACGTTCGCATACGTTCGGGGTTTTTTTTGCCGAGGGTCTAAAACCCTCAAATAATAATGCCAAATTTATTTGGTTTTTGATTTCAGTATTAAAGTGGCAGAGTTGTCAGAGTGACAGAGTCCCGCTGTCAAGCCTTATTCGACGGGAACTTCGTCGATTCCCTCACAGTCTTACGTTCATCTCATTCTTTTCTTTCAAGGTGCATTGAGGCGGATTTCATGCGTCTGGAGTTTCTCTCTGGAAAATTTGCGGTTTAATTGTCTCTGTCAGAGATTAATAACCGCGTGTATAAGTTCTAGCTTTCCCCGACGGCTTTTTTTTACCACTTCCCCACATTTTAAAAAAAAAATTAAGTTAGTGTAGGCTGATACTGAGTTTGTCAGGGTAAATTTTAGTTCCCCTTCCCCCCCCCCCCTCTTTTTTCAGGTTAGGGACTAAAGGCGCCTGTCCCCTGGAAAGATCAAGACATCACCGATGCTGCGGGGAAACCCTTTAGGATCTACTGCAGCGGGACAGGCGTATCCCCATACTTCGGTTTGGGAGACGGACTCAGTATCCTTTATTTTGTTTATTGCCGTTGTTCTGTTTATTCTTCATCCACCTTTTTGTCTGCTTTTGCTATGCTTTTTCTTTATTCACAGTTCTTCAGGTCTTTTCCATGCTGGCGGGCGAGTCGCGCCATTGGGTCTGTTCCGTGCCGGTGGGCGGGTATTGCAATGGTGATGCCTCATTTTTGTCGGGGCGGGCAGGTGCGGTGATGGCTAGCATAACCAGTGTGGAGGGGACGCTACGGACTGTTTCCTTCCTACGAAAGCCCTGTAGTGCCATCAAGTATATATTTTGTCCAAGTTCGTTTTTATGAGATATATTTTTCCCAAAGTTCGTTTTTATGAGATACATTTTGTCGAAGATCGTTTTTATGAGATACATTTTCTCGAAGTTCGTTTTTATGAGATATATTTTCTCGAAGTTCGTTTTTATGAGATATATTTTCTCGAAGTTCGTTTTTATGAGATATATGTCGTGCGCACGTGATAATTATCTCGTGCGCACGAGATATTATGTCGTGCGCACGAGATAAAAAAAAATAATTTTGGATGTCCCTTTAGGGGCTCCGTAACTCCATAAAACTCCGTAACTCCGTAAAATATATCTCATAAAAACGAACTTCGACAAAATGTATCTAATAAAAACGAACTTTGGGAAAAATATATCTCATAAAAACGAACTT